AATGTGTGGTTGAAAATAAGAGAGAAAAATATATTTTAAAAATAATGGAGACCAAACAAGAACTGAATTTCTCTGGTTTGTCTTTCTCTTTCGTAAGAACCAATTTAAGTCTTTAAAATTTTTGAAGACCTTAAATTTTTTTAATTTTTTTTTCGAGTATAATATGTCAACCGGGGGGAAACCGAATAGAGTATAAAGATATGACACAACTAGGGTACCCATTGGTTTCAAGTTAAGATCATTTGAAGAGTTAAAAGGGTAATTTTGGTATTATATTTTAATTGTTAAATTAATCATAAGATGGGACAAAGTTCGTAATCATATTCTAAACATTACCACTATAAAGTATGCTAATGCGTGAAAGAAAAAATGCAATTAAGGGAGGTACGTGTTATTCAAATGTTCGAAACAAGAGACTTGTGTAATTTTGGAAAAGAGTTAGGGTATATCTGAAATTATCATAAAATTTAGAGGAGGTATGCGTTATTCAAACTTCAAATAAGGCAAGTTTGTTTAATTTTAAAAAGTGTGGGGACGTCTCACCAAAATATTTAGGAATGTCAATGTAATTTACCTGTTGTTTTCTATTTTCTGCATATAGAATCCTGTGTCAGCTGAGAATAGCATTTGCAGTTAATACTTTTTTAGGCTATGGTACTTCATTGAAGTTGGGAAGGATCTCTGTGACAGAAGAAAATAATTGGCCAAAAAGGGGCATTCCGAGAATCGAACTCGGGACCTCTCGCACCCAAAGCGAGAATCATACCACTAGACCAAATGCCCTCGACATGCAGAATCTATGTTTTTCTCATTATCGATACGCAAAATGCCTAATATAACATTTTCCAATTAAAATGTGAATCATAAGGCAATTATATTTGCACCACATTTTAATTACATTAAATGTCATTAAATTTTATTCATCATTACACTTATATCCTTAATTTTTTTTTTCTTCATCACATCTTAATTTTAACATTTCATTGATTAGAAAATAGTCTTTAATAATGATTTTCGTCCAAATATATTGTTAACGCTCCTTTAAAATGAGGGCTAAATATTTAATTGCATTTTTGTGTTATTATTTATTTTGCTTATTTAAAATTACAATGGACAAATAAATCTTTTTACTCTATATTAAAGAAAATTTTAGAGAGAAATCATAATCAGGAACAATTTATGTTAATTTGAAGATAAGAATGCGACGAAAATAAATTGAGATATAAATGTGATAAATATAAAAGTTATGAACATTTCTTGCAATTAAAATGTAATCTTTTTTATTAGAAATTGTGGTGCGAATATATTTATCCGAAATCATATTACATGAACTTTTGAAATTAAGACATGTATTTCTCGATTTGATCCGATTTTGAATATTTTGTTCAATGTACGAAATCAGGTGATTTCACCTTCTTAATATGTATTGAAACATTTGTAAGAGGTTTCCTTTTCATAAGAGCAGTTGGAAGATGGTGGCAATCATACTTGGGACATCTCTCACCCATACAAGATATTTTCTTAAGTGGAAGATTTTCTTTTTGTATCTACAACTATTGGCATATGGTCACAAGTCATTGAAATACTAATATCAAAGACCAAATGTTTCCCATCTGCAAATTAATGAGCTTTTGCTAGTTATTTCTTTTAGTTTTTATTTATTTGTCTCGTTTTTACGATGACGTCAGATTTGAACAATGTTGGTGACTAAGTGTGATTTGAAATTTAAGCGACGTACAAATAGAAAGACTTTCGATTTATATGACATTGATATCTAATGAATAGATGACCAATTTTCAATATTATCAAAAGTAGGTTCCATTCATATCTCAAGTTACATCCTCGTGTTTATTTGATTAGTAAAACCGAAATCATTTTTAGGGGCATTTTAGTCTAATTTTGATAAAAATGGCCATCTATACAAAACCCTTTAAATGCCTTTTTCTTATTATATATTAATAAATATAAACTGAAATTCCTGTAACAAGGGCGTTTGTAGTCCAACGGTTAGGATAATTGCCTTCCAAGCAATAGACCCGGGTTCGACTCCCGGCAAACGCAGTTAAATATTTGGAAAGATTTTTGTTGGGTTAGCGCCCTTTTTGTAATGTACTGAAAAACGTTTTACTAATTAAAATTTTGTCTATTTTAATTTATTTCGCCGTGTTTGGATAAAAGGGATTTTACTTAAATGATTTGCATGATTTATCTCATTAATCCCCCAATTTTACTCTTCAAAAATATACGTCGATTAATTAGTATTTACATAGCATGCGAATAATATGCATTTATTGTCCTACGCTTGTTTTGAACAAATTAAGGGGTCGTTCTCTTTGCCGTTTTCAACCCGTTTTCTGTTTTCGATTTTTCAAAACGAAGAAAACTCGTTCTCTTTGTCATTTTCGAAAACGAATTTTTGAAAACGAAAAAAAAAATGTGAACGTTTTCTTCACAATCTGGAAAACATGGGAAACAAGCCCAAAACAACTCCTACATTCTCCAGCCAAGAAACATTCAACTGCCACTTCCCATCCCTCTAACTCCGGCTAACCTCCTCCAAAACGGCCGGATTCATATACCATTGTAAAGCCCTCAATCCCCTCTTCAATTACCACACAAACAACAATTCAATCATATACCAGACTTGATCAAAAATATCCTCAAAAACTGATTCCCCTCAGGCAACACTCAAGGTCGCGCTTCAATTCCTCATCCCTTCAACATTGAATCATCAAATCGGCCTCAATCGAGTCTTCAGCAGGCACATAGGACTATGGGTTACATGTCAATTGCACCAATTAATTCAGAAAATGCTTCAATTTTCCAATCCACCGCCACCTTCCCCTCACCTCCATTTCCCAGTTGTCCCTTCCCCTCACCTCCACATACGTTGCCGTTGAAGGAATTAAAAACGGTCAGTTGATTTACTGTGTGAAAAAGCCAAGCTTGTGGTCGGAAAAGGAAGGAGAGAGAGAGAGAGAGAGAGGAAGAAATGTGTTTGGAAGTGAACAAGTTTTCAATTTTGAGTTTTTCAAAATGACAAAAAGAACACATTTTCAACAATTTCAAAATGGACACTCAAAACATAAAATACAAAATGAATTCAAAACACAAAACTGAAATACAAAGAGAACATCCCCTAAAATTTTACATGTCATGTACTTAGTTTTATAAACAGGTAACAGACTCCCAATACTTTTTACATTCTTTAAAAGAAATTAACATGTCACTAGCATAAAAAAACTAATGTATTGGCATCTTGTTTACTTGTGATTGTCTTTTGTAAATGGTTCAAAACCTCTATTTTGAGCAATCCCATATGTTTTTTGACGACCGTACAATTTGCATTCATTTATATACTTTCTTGATTTATTTATCGTGTCAGACCAATAATACATCTAATATTATAACATATGGTATCCGTTGCAATCATTTACACAAATAGTTGAAGTCTCACCAAGATCAAAGCCTTGAAAAGGTAAAGTCATGTGGCATGTGACAGCTTTTGATCAACATTTACTACCCTTTAATTTCAACAAAAAAGCAAAAATAAAATGAAATAGTTAATTCATCTACCAATAGAGTATATTGAATGTACATAAATGGCTATAATAGAGTTTTTATCCCTTCCAGTCAAATATTGAGGCTTCACAATCAGAAGCCAATAAGCTCTTCTCTCATGTCTTTCTTCTTTTGTTGTACGGTATTTTGATCTCTAAGAGGATCACTATGATTATATTTGTTTTTCATAAATTTCATATGCTATAGAGGGACGAATTTGCTTATTTTTAGATAGTAAATGGGGTTCTTTCTTTCATTATATCCTATTTACTAGTACTAATAATTGATATTGAAAACCGACTATTTTATAAAAAGCTTTGACTTATCCTTAGGCTATTATGCTTCTATGGTCGCCAAAAAGAAAAAAAGAAATAGATTGCTTTGATTGTTAATGTGCAAGAGTGGCGAGAAGCTCTTTTCTTTTTTAGAGCAAAAATTGAATTAGGAGATGACACGGGAGGTGATCCCTAATATTACTCTGCGACCATGTCAAAGTTTAATTAACATTATTATTGAAGATCAAACTATTACCCAGCCATAAAAGGAACTTCGTTGTAAAAAAAAAAAAAAAAATTTAAACATTGTGGCATTCGGGGAATTGAACTTGGTAACTCTCAAACCTAAAGCGAGAATCAAACCACTATACCAAAATCCTACATTGTAACATTTCTGTGATTGATAT